ACAGCGGACCAGCGCTGTTATGTGTGTTACCATTCATGGCTTCAGGGTATCGCTATGTGAGCCCTGCTTTTATTGCACACAACAGGGCTTTGTGTCTAACTGCATAGTTATGGGACAGTAATAGTAGGGGAGAGTGGGAGTGCACACAGGGATACATTCCTCCATAAATAAGTGACAACCAGAAAGTAACTGCAAACAGCAGGAGACCCCGCTCCTCATAAGACCTGGGTGCTCGTGGGCAAGTGTTTCATGTTGTCTTTCAACTGAGGGGACCATCATTTACTCAACCCTGGCAGCTGTGAAAGAGAGAGCGACATTCTTAAGCTATTGGAGCGAGGAACAATTCACTTGCAGATCCCTTGTGACATCCTGCAAGAAGGAGGTCATTTTTTTGGCCTGGAATGCTGACAGTAAAAGTGCAGCCAGGCAGGTTGTTCAGACCACAGGGCGTGATCGTTGGTTTGGAAGAGCTGCTTTAATTATGACTGAGTGTTGGCAAAGGCCGACCTGTTGGTTAGTTGTGATGATGAATGTGTCATGGTCAGGACATAAGAATTTTGACCCAGAAACACTGACACTGACTCTCACGGCCGAGATGAAGACTAAAGAATTTGGAGGGCTTTAGAATTTTAGACCATATTTGACTTTCTTTGAGTTGTCTTTGGATTATATATTGTCAAATATTAAATGTAAATGTTCAAGCAAGAGCAAAACCCTCATAGCATATCAAATTTTATGTCCACCATGTGTCCAATGTCACTCCCACTGAAACACAATAAAATATTTAAGGATAGTTATAAGTTTGCCAAATGACTAGGCGCAAAAATTCAACAGTAAATCATTGTTATTGGTGGCTTTGGGCTCATTTTGTTGCTGTATGTCAGTCCATGCATAAAATAGGTCTTTTCAAAGAACCTTCAGTGTTTTAGAGTTTTGTGGCATAACGACTCAGCTAAAGTTAAAAGAATACTTTGCTGAATTTCAACCAGCTTTGTATCATATTTGTGTGGGTAGTATGTGTATGTGTACATTTTTGTATGTCTGCCACCATGGATGGAAAGAGTATAGAAGCAGACTGAGAGAGACAGCAGCCTTTCTCTCTGTCCAAACTCCAATCAAACCCTAAAACTAGGCAGTGCTAATCAAATCTAAACCAAGATTCTGTGACTCCGTTGCCTATTTATCGTCCCTAGCACATATTTTAGTGCACTGTTTGGCTGTAATATGAAAACGTGTGAACAGGAAGTAGGCGCAATACTGTTTCCTGTGTAACAGAGGCTGAATGTTTTTTTTTTTTGATCAAACCTAAAATGTTTCTAGAAACATATTTGAACTTACTGTTTAACTGTTATTCAAGATTGTTTGTAACCAGCCGGTCGCCATATTGTTTCCGTGGGAAAAACGTCCCAGCTTGCATTAGTTCACCCACAAGCGGGAGTGTTTATTGGTCCAAATCGGTGCAGTGCATCCTGGTAGCTATAAGTTTTCTACCTCTCGAGAGAAAGCAGATTCCACAGACATATTCCTCTGTTTTCTCTGGTCATGTAGCACCAATTTCAAAAGTATTTGCGCCTTTACTGCATAGACAGCCCAGTTTTATGAAAAGACCATCTGTTCAGCAGTGAAATACTTCTTAAGTTTGTAAGTTCTTGTTACTGGTTTCTACTTTTCCTGCTTGCAGCAATTACACAGGGAGAAATCTATCAGACAAGGATGCAGTACCATTTTTACTATGCTATAGCTTCTGCTCGCACCATCTGCTCCTATAGTCAGTGCTGAACGCAACATGTTCAAGCCTGTTCTCCTGGGGCTGTTGCATATGATTCTGGGTAACATAGGAAATCACTAATTTATGCAGGAGTACACGAGGCAACGTGAGGTAAAGTTTGTGTGCCAAAAAAGTAAATGACAACATTTCCTCCCCAAAGGAATTCAATGAACACTACTGATAACTGTGTAAAGTGTGTTAGCGTAGCATGAAGGTAACTCAGTTCCACAGTGTAATGGCATGATTCCTGTCCCATGATCTGCAAACTGTCTGCCTATTGTAGCCAAGGGCCTGATGCACGTGAGTGGGCGAAAGCAGACAGAAAGTGGGCGGATGCAGACCAGTCTCCATATGTTAGACATCATCCGTCAGCTGCTGCGTTGTGTTTGTTCATGCGCTCACCCCACCACTTTCAATTACATGGCCCACAAACTAGGCCATTGATCCCCTCACGTTTTCCTGTTAAGGTTTGTCAATTTGCGCCTCCTTCTTGCACATTTAGATCAGGTCACTTACATCAGCAGCTGCAAAGAAATGATCTCACGCTGACTTGCAGCCCTACCCCCCCGTCTTCTTTTACATAAACACACACATATCGGTGTGTACGTTCTGATGTGTTTGCACAATATATGAAGCCGGCGAGCATGTTTGCTTACTGTCAGGCAAACAGAACAATGTTGCTTTTAATAAACCACCGAGTAGGAACAAGCACAAAGACTGGGGTGTCTCCTGTGAGGTCCCTAATTGGAAACAACACTGCCTGCAGGACACAAGCTTGTCTTAGTGTGTCATGTTGATCAGATAACTTGATCACATATTAGGTGGCTGCCGTGCGCTGAGAGCAGTTTGGATGTGGCTCAGAAGTAGGTTATGACACATTTGGATGCGTGCTAGTGTCTGGTGGGCCCACAGCGGGGATAGAGAGTTAAACAAGAGACAGCTTGCAGACAAAGTCCTGATAAAGAACAGACTGTGCTTATATGGTGGGTATATATATATAAATATATCTATATGTGAGTGTGTCAGAGAGTTTGAATGACACCTGTTAGTCTCAGGGTCCACTTTTAAGAGGAGAGAATGTGTTTCTTGTCAGTTTCTTCCTTTGCAATGGTCTGTAGTCTCTCTGTCTGTCTGTCTCAAACACATTTACATTCAAGCTATGACCACTCCATGGTAGCAGAAGAGCTTTTAGCCTGAGGGCGAGGGGCTAGTTGCTCTGTGTCCTGGAATGCGGTTGACTTTCTAAATCCCCCACCAGTCTATCCTGGGGCTGCGGGGCAGGGCCTATCTCAAGCCCCCTTTTCCACGTGAGCTACGTCTGGAATCTCTAAGCAAGCAGTTAGCTGATTCTCCAGGCTTCGCTCTTTCCAGCGTCACTGTGTGTGTTGATTCCAAAGTGCAATGGAAGAGGAAATAGCAGAAGAAGACAAAGATTGCTCACTTGGAGAAGGTAATGAGCTTTCTGATATGCCACCCGCAAATGACTACCGATCTTTTGGAGGTTTGAATCTATTCTGTCTGCTGAGTGTAATTTGGTTAGCAGTGGGGAAACTGTGTTTGGGAGTTAAAAATAGGATTGGAAGTACATGAGACTACTGCGTCTCTGAACTTGAGCAGGGTGGGGGTTTGGACTGATGGTGCTGGTGACGAGGGCTTGATTGTGACGCACCACCACTCAGTATTTCTCAAAAATTAGGCCTGCTGATTGAGGCAACTTTGTGTTTTCTTCCAAAGATCTGTGGATGAAAATGAAAAAATAGTAGACTGGAAGACAGACAGGAGGAACTTAGTGGAAGGAAATATCATGGCACAGGACAACAAAAAGAAGTTGAATGATTGCAGCTACTAAGCACGAGTTTTTCCCAAGTTGTTGCACTAGTTAAATCTACCCCCATCTCAGTCCTAACATGTCTTTGAGAAGCAAACAAGAAATTCCTTTTTCATCCATGGCTCACAGCATGCTTTCAAGCTTTCAAAGACGAAAAGAAAAGCCATATTAAACCACCCACAAAATAGGGGCAAATCACTTGAAATATCCATCTTCAGCTGTTGAAGAGCTGAACTCCGTAAGAGGTCCTTTATTTTCCGCCATTACCCTCTGAAAGGTGCACATTATAGCTCCACCTGCCAGTCTAGAAAACAAGGCAGCAGATCAGCTCACTTTATTGCTTCTTTCCCCTCTGTTTTCACACTCCAGAAGCTCTCTTCCTTTGCTGCCATCCATGTTCTCTCCTTTATTCCCCTCTTCTCGTCTCTTCTCTTGCAGAATCTCATGGGATAGCTTTCAAATTGATGGATTATTTCTGTATTCCCGAGGTTCTGATTGATATAAGACAAGATAACAGTGCAAAGATGTTTATGTGCCTAAGGAGGTTGTATTTATTTTATCTCCATTCTGCCCTAAAATCAAATATTCCTCTTCAACACCACTTTTTTTGTTTGTTTTAGAAAGTACTCTCACATGTGATAAAAGGGAAACAATTGCCGATTGCAGCATAAGTAATGCTGAGGCTTTCTTAAAAATTGGGCGTTTAGTCAGAAACATGCTTCATATCATGTTTCTGTAGATGTAAATGAGACATCCATTGCGTTTAGTGGAGAACAGCTGTGTCACATAGTCATCAAAAATAAATAAAGACATTTCCTCTCAATATTTCTGATGTCACCATTCAGTTAAGCTTATTGCATCTGGCAGTTTCTGCTCAATCTCAAAATTTTGCAAGGCTCTGGCTGAATAAACAGATGCTCTGGAAATCATTTCCGAGTTTCTCCATTTCTGTCTCCTAACATTAATGGATTTCCTTGGCTTTTTTATTAAGGAAAGAAGCCTGAACAGCTGTTTAAATTCTGCATTTTCATCACCAATATTCTGTCTGTCACATAAAATTGTGGATTTATTGCTGAAATGTAAAACAGCATGAATATATAATGAACTGGGCCGACAATGTTTATTTCAGCGTAGTGTCTGGAGAGAATATTAACAACTTTTTGCGTATGAAGTCACTTTTCTCTTTCTTCACTCTCTCACATGGAGCATGTTATAGTACAAGAAAAGAGTTTGCAGTCGTAATTAGTTCCATATAGGTCTCAGGTGGTTGAATTTGAACTGACATGCCCTCTTCATGACCTACAGAAGAACAACATACACATACGCACTTGCGGTTCAAGTCAAAACATCAGCACAGCACATTTGTTTTGACCCCCTGTCTCTGTGTCCTCTGTGTCCCCTCAGAGCAAACCAAAAGCAACCTGAAGGTAACCTCCCCAGAGGACGCTCAGCACGTAACCCGCAGACAGGCCTCCCCAAATGGGACAGCCCCTTCAAGAGGGGACGCCAAAGGCAGCCGCACTGTCCCTCGAAGGCACACGTTAGGGGGAGCCCGCAGCTCCCGGGAGATCCTGGCTATGCAGCCATCAGACATGGACAAGAAGAGGGAGGCCTTCCTGGAGCATCTGAAGCAGAAATACCCCCATCACGCCTCAGCGATCATGGGTCACCAGGAAAGGCTGCGTGAGCAGGTCAGTGGGTTGAGAGAGGCCCGGGTGTGCAGTATTATTGTCTTGGCTCACATTGTTGAGATGATTTGAATTATAAATATGTTGACTGGTTTCTTTCACTGAAGAGAGCACAGTAAAGTCATTTTAAAGCTGCACAATTCAGTATATTAAAAATGAATCAAATGACAAAGTGTAACGTGAAAGGTGTTGCTCTGACGAACCCATTAGCTAACTCTGCTTTTTGCCTAAGCTCCAAGGAGAACTTTAGCATCCTTCAGTGCTTTGTTTTTATTTTCTGGTCTGCCATTCACGTTGTTTCCAGCAGGGGGCAACTTCTTTAAGTTTAAAAGGTCTCATAAACCTTTTTTTTAAAAAGCTGTACGTCACTGCCCAGCACCAAACATTTGAGAAACGAAAGCTACATCCACTCTGTTTTTGTCTGAAAACACATAAGCGCATACTCTGGCCTTTTGGAACCCCAGAAATGGTGACCTTTTAAATTGCTGCTCAACCTGTTTTAGTTCAAGAAACTCCAGGGTTGCATTTTAGTCTGGATGGGCGGAAACTTATACTTTTGAAAACGATGATGTAAATACCCATGTTGTAGCTAGGCCTTCATACTTTGTGATTTCATCCTTCTTGTGTGGGTAACCCTTTCACATTGCCATGGCTTCCTCCGGTGATGGATAATGCTCCCTTTACTCCTCTAATATATCGCCATATTTGCTTTGCAATGCCTCTTGATCTGTTTTCCGCTGCCTTGATTGCCTTATACTTTTGTCATTTTCAGTAACAGTTCCACCCTATCGTTCAATCAATCAATCAAACTTTATTTATATAGCGCCTTTCATACATCAAAAATGCAACCCCAAAGCGCGTTGATCCAAGCAAAGAAATCTCTGGTCTTACTTTTTGCCATCTCTGTAGTATTTTCTGTAACTAAGCAGAGCAGACAATCTGCCTCCTGTTTGCACTGGTACGGCTGTGGCCAGTGTATGTGAATCATCATGTGATAGGTCATGTTTTCAGAGTTTTTTCAGGCATGTCAGTATGGACGGAGATTGATTCTGAAATGGTGCTGAAACACTTGTGTGACCGGAAATTGTTTTATTTTAATATAATGTTTTAAAATGAAAACATTGCAAAGTTAGCAGCTGGCTTGTGAACACTGCACACACCAGAAACACGCTCCAGATAAATGCTAATGTTGCTCCATGTCCATTGGTTGTATGAACAGGCAGCTAAAACATTTTCCATGTAAACCCCATAAAGTGATGTCAGAGGTTTCTTAGTTTATTTCTCTGCCTCAGAGTGGCAAAAAATGTCTATTAATACAATTCTAATATCAATTTAAGACCTCATGAAACAGCTATATTTACTATTATTTAATATTTTTAGTTTAATCTTATACAACATCTGGCAATTCAAATAAGCCACAAACATTTCTGAAAGGATTAGTTTGACATTATGGTAAATATGCTACTCAAGTTTGATGGGTAAATTGTCATTGATATTCTTCAGTTTTTATCTGGGTTAGATATGACATGACTTAGTCAGATTTTCCATTTACTGGTACTTTGATTTTGTTATCTTAATGGACAAAGCCAAGCTATCTGTTTCCCCCTGTTTCCAGTCTTTGTGCTCAGCTAACCACTTCAGTTACATATTTACCAATCACTCATGAGCGAGGTATCAATCTCCTTGTCCAACTCTCAGCAAAAAGCCAATGCTCGTATTTTCCAAAACAATGTGAAACTACCAGTAAAGTGGGAAGAGAGTACAAATTACAAGACAAATAATGTGGTTTATGTACTGACAGAATCACACGTGAACTTCTCAGTGCCTTTGCCCTCTCTTATATGGTCACATTGGAGGTTTTGTTATTTTCCTCTGCAGACTGAGGAAACAGTGCTACTGCAAAACTATTTCCTCCACTCTTTTTGCCGCAGGTTAAATGCGAAGTCTATCCTATAAATCTGCCTGTCACGTTTCCCTCCCACAGCTGCTGTGAAACAGTAATATGGTGTTTTTGAGAGGAAAACATGCGAACCACACATTATTTGGATTGTCTGCACACCCTAAAACCTGTTTTGATCAGCATAATTGGACTTGCTTATAGTTTCAGGCTGCTTTGTGTATTCTAGAGTGCAGAATGATGTTTAAAGAGTACATGTCTTTCATTGATTATAAAGTCTCCTCATGCTTTTTGAAGTCAAGTAAGTTGATGGGGGAGGGCGACACAGGGGAGTCAGGACAGAGGACATTTGGCTCACCTGGTCATTGTCTGTCTGTTTGCTCTGGGTCAGAGGAGACAAAAGGGAGGGGCAAGCTGGCTTTGTAGCCAAAACAATCGAGGTAATGGTGAGACTGGCAGCAAGCCACGGGGGAGCTCCAGGCAGTGGTACGGAGCATTGTGCAAGAGGGATTTGGTGTGCTGTTTTCAGAGCAGCCCACGCAGCGTGCACACATGCAAAGTAAACCCTTTTCATAAGGTGATCATGGACTCTGAATTTGCATAGGAAATATAAGTCAGCAGAGATGATGGTGTGTGTTACTCCAAGCCTATCAACATGTGTGTGTTTGGGGATGCTTTTGGCATTGTTTTATCCATGAAGTCATCAGCAGTTTATCTAGCTGTGAAAAATCTGTGTACATCTGCTGTTGTTATCGAGTGCGCAGGGAAATGGAGGAGACTTTGTTGTGAGACTGAGGTAGTCAGACAGGTAAGTTCAGCTCCGGACTGGGGTGGAGTCAGAGTTGCCATAGTGACTCATGATGTCACCGCTGGAGGGGCTCAGTTTACGTGTAGGTGCCTGTTGGAGCGAACTGGCTGGCTGTGAGAGAGCTGTGTGTGAGTGGAGGAGCGCAGCTCTGCAGGAACAGGCGATGGATTTGAAGATTTTCTGGAGGCATGGCTCCGCGGAGGAATAGAAATCAACTTTTCATACAGACGGAATAAACTTGTCACATCGGCACCCGGGCAGAAGCAACAGAGGTAGGATACTATCGGATCATTTGCTGTTCTTCCAAGGCAGCCAGTGCGCTTCTCAGACACTCACATCAGCTCTGCGTGCCATTGTGAGCGCTCTCGCACCAAAATGCATGCATTATTGCGCTTTTACGCGAAGTGTAGCTCGCCCACGAGTGTGTGTGCTGCAGCAGAGTGCACACCAGCGGGCTGTCAGGTGCTGCAAACTTCTAAGAGGCGAATGCAAAACTTGGCACGAGTTTTATCGGGGGAGAAAAAACGGTTGAAGAAGTCTTTGAGTGCGTCTGATGCCTTCACTTCACCGATGATCAGATAGATGGGCGCTGTGAGGGTGTCAGCAATAAATCATCCATAGGGTGCAATCCCCTACCTGCAGCTCCCCTTCATCTTACGGAGATGGCAATTACGCAGCCGTAATTGCATAACAAATGATGCACGGAAGTTAAGGGTTATATGATAACAATCTTGCAAGATATCAATGGTGGTTGGAGACAGTATAGACCAGTAAAACTGATGCTGAGATGCTGCTACTGCTGCTGCGCGATTTTGCAATGGCGTCATGTTAGAATTTAATATTTTTTAAAACCAAATTTGAGCAATTTGATATCCAGAATGGCTTTTACAATATACATCTCTCAAATCGAACCTGTATTGGATACTGCCATGGCTTCACTTCATCATAACTTAATGGCTCCTGTTGAATTTTCATTTTTTATGTTGCATTGTCTCGTAATTGGCATGCAGTGAATATATTTTATTGCCTCATTTCAATGGACTTTGGAGGGTTGCTTTTCTCTTGGGATTAGATTCCATTATATTGCCTTTGATGTGTTTAGGGTTGCTGGATTTTTTCAGTGTGTGCACGAATAGAAAGACTTTTTTCTTATGCTTGTGTGTGAATTTGTATTGAAAATGATGTTTTGGGTCATTCTGGGGTCATAGACAATTTCATTTGGAACTTCCTGTCCTTATTAGCAGGGGATCATCCGACAATGCTTTCTCTTTGGTAGAGTTACTGTAAAAAAAAATCTCAAGTTTGTGTAGTAAAACTCTTTGAAGTGGCTCCCTCAGCTGCTGAAATACTGAAGTAAGACGAGAGAGATAAAAATGATCTCCTGGGTGGGTTGTCAGTTTTTAAGACACTTTTGAATTGATTTTGGAGTGAAGCTCTTCATATGTTATTCAGGCATTGGAAGTGAGATTTGAGCGGTGATGGCTCTTGAATTTATCATGTCAGGGAAGAAGATACAAGATGCTGTCACAAAGCAGACTGGTTTGAGCGTGATTTTCTGGCACATCAACATAGTGCTGATAAATGAAAGAAGATGATTGAGGGCCGCGTTTGACGTAATCTAATTTAGGATGTCAGGAGGGATGCAATCACTCACTGCTAATACAAAGAGCAGAAAATTAAATGAAACAAAATAAAAATGACAAGCTTTTGGAAGCGTTTGTCATTTGGTGTCCTGGGGAGGTTTAATTATGCCGCTTCAAGCAAGAAAACAAGTCAAGTCGAGGATGACTTGTTACAGTTCCCACGCGGACACAAAGTGCCGACCGTACAGGAAAGACAACATCAGTGGCAACAATGCATGCTTCAGAGGTGAGAAAGAAATGTCCCCGGAGGTTTCAGTTACAAAGGTGGAGATTTATCAAGGTCAAGCGGAGGTTGGGAAAATGATATCGCTTCAGTCTGAAAAGTGGATGACCCCACTCCGCCCAGCATGGCTGCACACACATACACACTGACTGACTCAGCCTTATATAAGGTACCCCTCAATTCCTCCCTTGTCTCCTTCTGTGATCCTTAAACCCTCAACAAAAGCGAGTGGTTTAATTTCCTCCTCTCCTCATCAGGCCTGCAAAGACCTGGATCCCACCCAAGGGAGATGAGATAATATCCCACTGGCCTGACCGCCACCCATCCTCTCACCCCTCTCTGTCTCTCTCTGCCCAGGGGCTTTGACGAGCACAAACTGAGCCGCTTGGCCGATCACAGACACACATACACACACACACACACACACACACA